AAAAATCCACAACAAAAAGAAAATATTTGGCCACAAACTGCATTTATGCTGAATACTGATGGGGATTTTTTCAATTTGTCATATTACATTAAGTGTTCATTTCCTTATGTTTTGCTTCTGCAAGTTTAATAATACTGTAATTTTCGGACTATTAGCCGCACCTGAATATTATGCCGCAGGTTTTTTATGTTTAATGTCCGTCTTTCTCGCTGTCGTTCTGTCTCGTACCACTCACGGTAGAAAAGTCTGCTTCCGGAGGACCTCCGCATTCCCGCGCTCTCGGCTACCGTACTTGTGTGTTGAAGGAAATCTGACGTCAATGTGGTGGATGATAAAATCCATAGATTTAGGTATTACGCTAGTGGCCGTTAGCTGTAAAAGTCCATAGAGAAGCCGCATTGTTATATAATAAGCAAGGTCGAAAAATGGGGAAAAAGTCGCAGCTTATAGTCCGATAATTACGGTAATAAAATCGCGCATGCTCTCCTCGAGCTCCGAGGAAATCGGAGTGGAGTCGGAGGCTGTAGGCTTTGCTTTGCGGAGGCGTCTGGAACAGAGCGGGGCGGTTACGGAGGATGTGGGATTTTTGGGTTAGAGTTCACTCCGTACTCACGAGCATTTCAGGCACTAATTCATCTGCTTTTTTAGACGCTTCGTCTTCAGGCAGCGGCTCGGACGAAGACGATGTTCCTCTGAAGAACCTTGTCTCCAAGAAGAAGCAAACGGCTAAGAAACCCACGAAGAAGAGCAAGAGGCCGCGAGGCAGACCACGGAAAAAGTCCCAAGGTTGTTTAAAAACGGTCGCTGACTAACGGCTCTGTGACCTGAACCGCTTCCTGACACGTCAGCTGCTGTCGCTTTCTCCCTCCAGAAATCTGCGATGATGACGACAGCTCCGATGACGAAGCTGTGGTGAATCGCTCAGACAACCGAAGAAAAAGCACAACCAAGACATCGGCCAGGAAAAGGAAGAACCAAGATCTTAAAACATGGAAAGGTACGACGACTCAATCAGAAATGACTTCAAACATGACTTTGGTTGTTAAAATGTTTCACCGCTTACAGCAATTATTATTTTTACTGATTGTTAAAATTTGCTGAGCTTTACTTTTACAAAAAAAAGGAAACCAGAGCCTGAAGCGAGTCCTCTGAGAAAAGCCTCCAGAGCAGTGTTTTGCTCTTCTTTCAGTGAAGAAATACTC